GGTAACTGTTTACGAAGGGCTTCCTGCGCCCCGGACTCCCGGCCCCGGACGGGCCCCCTGACTCCCGGGGGGCGGTGCGGACACTCACCGGCGAGCGGGCCGCCACTCAGCACGGAGGCGGGCTGCAGGGCGTGCACTGTCTTAGCCACGCTGGTCATGGTCGCGGGGCGGCAAGGCTTGGCCCTGGGAGGCGGAAGGTGCACATTACCCCGTGGTGGCCAGGGGACCCCCGCCCCGAGCAGGTGGAGGGCCCGGGAGAGCGCGACCCAGCCTTTCCGGCTCCGGGGAGGCGCAGGGAGAAACTCGTCCACATCCACCCCAACCCGTCCGCCCTCAGCAGCCCGATCCCCTGCCCCGGGAGGGCCGAACCCAGGCGCCTGCTGCTCCCGCCCGCAGTCCTCGTCGCTCCGACTCCAAAGGCCCTCCGCGGAAACGGCCGCGCTGCCGCCCGCGTCTGCCGCCGGGGTTTCAAATGGAAACTTCCGGTGGGCGGGGGCGGGGCGGGGCGGGGCCGGGGGCGGGGCTGCGGCGCGCGCCCCGCGGGCGGCCGTGCGGTGCCGGCGGCCCGGCCCTGGGCGGCGCCTGCGGGGGCTGCCAGACGGTACGGAAGGTCGGAGCCTCACCGGTTCCCGGGCGGGTGGTGGTGGAGTCCCTGGGTCTGGGCCGGGGCGGGGAGTGGTGCTCTTTGTGGGCCTGAATGGAGCTGTGACCCACCGGCGTCACTTTCCAGCTCGGGGCGCCGACGCAGCCAAGTTTAGAGTCCATGTCACAATCCTTCTCTTTGTTTGGTTCGCGATGGTCAGGGACATTGCACGCTGCCTGAGTGCCTGGCGCAAAGGGTATTTCAATGGGCGTAAAACTACCCGTGGCAGGGTGGGGAGTGGCAGATGGGGTTGGAAGCGGGCCTGTGGGCTGAAATCCCTGAGGCGCCTACAGGCAATTCTAACTTGATCATTTCACGCTACAAATTGGAGCACCTGCTGTGTGCCGGGCACTACACTAAGTGTGTGTGTGGGGGGGGGGGGGGGCGGGGGGGGGGAGCGAGAAAGAGGGAGACAAGTATTGAGACCTTGTTTCTGCGCTCCTGGAGCTTACAATCTAGCGAACAAATAATCATATGAACTTGTCAATTATATCTCAATAAAGCTGGATATATGTCAACTAGATATGTATTTCCGACTGTAGTAAAACTATGAAGGAAGAGTACAATGTTCTGCGAGAGAGAAAAGCAGGGAAAGCAAGTTTAGATTTAAGGGACCATGTCCCAGTGATGTCAGGATAAGTGGGACTTAATCAGATTACCGGTGGGGGAGGGGCAGAGATGCAAAGTCCTGAAGCTAGAATGGGCTTTTCTCCTAGAAGGGACTGAAAAATTCAAGGAGAGTGGTACAGATAGAGTTGGAAGAATGGCAGCCTTTGTAGGCCAAAGGTAAAGAGATTAGATTTTATCTAAGAGTAATGGGAAGCTATTGAAGTACTAGAGGGTGCACGAAATTCCTGCACGGGGTAGGGTCCCTCGGCCTGGCCAGCGATCGCACATCATTAGCAACTGGTTGTTCTGCCCTTCGGTCGATTTGCATATTAGGCTTTTATTATATAGGATAGGAGTAGAGCAGGAGAGTATTCTTCACGTTATATTTTATTTATTTTTTTAAATATGCTTTTATTGATTTTTAGATAAAGAGGAAAAGAGGGAGATAGAAACATAAATCAATTGATCGATCAATAGATTGCCTCCTTCATGCCCCCTACTGCGGATTCAGCTCCAACTGGGGCATGTACTCTGACCAGGAATCAAACTGGAGACCTCTTGATACAAGGGACAACGCTCAATCCACTGAGCCACACCAGCCGGGTTCAAGTTATATATATATTTTTAAATATATTTTATTGATTTTTCAGAGAGAGGAAGGGAGAGGGATAGAGAGTTAGAAACATCGATGAGAGAGAAACATCGATCAGCCGCCTCCTGCACCCCCCCTACTGGGGATGTGACCGCAACCAAGGTACATGCTCTTGACTAGAATCGAACCTGGGACCTTTCAGTCTGCAGGCCGACACTCTATCTACTGAGCCAAACCGGTTAGGGCCAAGTTATATTTTAAGAAGCTCATTCTGGCTAGGCCAGTGTGGCTCAATGATTGTGCATCAACCTGTGAACCAGGAGCTTACAGTTTGATTTCCAGTCAGGGCACATGCCCGGGTTTTTGGCTCGATCCCCAGTAAAGGGTGTGCAGCCAATCAATGATTCTCTCTCATGACTGATGTTTCTATCTCTCTCTCCCTCTCCCTTCCTCTCTGAAATCAATTAAAAAACACACATATATACATATTTTTAAAGCTCATTCTGGCTACCCCAGAGAATGGGTTGGAAGGGGGCAAGAGTGGAACTAGGAAGACAATTGGGAGGCTACTGTAATCATTCAAGTGGGAGAAGATGGTGGGTTAGCCATGAGGGTGGTGGTATTAGTGGAAACGAAGAGACAATCAGATACATTTAAGACAACTTCTGGAGATCAGATCTCAGAACTCAGTGCTAGATTGGAAGTGGGGCAGGGAGTGGAGGAGAAGGGAGAGGGAAATCTTAAGGATGACTCCCTGGCTTGAATAATTAGGTGATTAGAACCACTACTTTGTATTGTGGGGAGATTGAGCATTTAGTTTTGAACATGGTAAACTTGAAATGCCTCTGAGACATTCAAGTGTTTAAACTATTAGGTAGCCAATGGGAAATATAGGCTTTGAGCCCAGAAGAGAGTCTAGGTTGGAGATACACTTTGGGAGTTATGGGCATATGGATGCATTTAAATCCACAATATTGGATGAGATCACCAAGGGAAGAAGTGCACAGAGAGCCTTAGGGACAGCAGCATTTAGAAGTTGTAATAAGGAGGTGCCAGCCAGGAAACATGATAAAGAGGTGCCAGAGAGGTGAGAAGGGGGAAAAAAGGGGGGGGGGTGTCCTAGAAGCTAAGAAGGAAAACTGCTGAAGGAGTGAAGGAGGGAATGGTAAACTATTGAAAATCAACACGAAAGGGTGAGATGAGAAAGAAAAAGGATCCATTTAACTTAGCAACAAAGAAGTCATTGGTGAGTATAGGAAGAGAAAGTCTGGTGCAGAGGTTGAGTGGCAGCCATGTGGGAGCAGGTTGAAGAGTGCATGCGAGAGGAGGAGGCGGAGATGGCAGGTATAGACTGAGAGCTTGTGAATGGAGGCGCAGTTAAGCAGTAACTGGAGGCGGGTTGGGTGCTTGAAGGTGCAGATACTGCTTGATACATGTGTCAGCTGAGAGGAAGAAAAGGATGCTTCAGAGGGGAGAGGGGATGATCAAAGGAGTAGAGTCATAGAGAAAGAGGGATGGAAGATGGATCTACAGCAGCATCTTCAAGTTCTTTTGTTCATATACCCCCACAAAATAATAAGACAAAAAAACAATGTTTCAGTTGATGCCTAATAAATGTTTTCATAATTTTAAATATTTATAAAGGACATATACTTTCTACTTATTATATATTATGCATCATATTTATTCATTTATAAAATTATTTTTTCTTTTGATTTCATTTTGGGTAATTTTCTATGTCTTCAAGTTTACTAATCTTTTTCTGCAGTGTCTAAACCAGTGATGGCGAACCTTTTGAGCTCAGCGTGTCAGCATTTTGAAAAAGCCTAATTTAACTCTGGTGCCATGTCACATATAGAAATTTTTTGATATTTGCAACCATAGTAAAACAAAGATTTATATTTTTGATAGTTATTTTATATATTTAAATGCCATTTAACAAAGAGAAACCAACCAAAAAAATGAGTTCACGTGTCATAGGTTTGCCATCACTGGTCTAAACTGTTTTTAATTCCATCCAGTGATTTTTCATCTCTACAAGTTCAATTTGCATATTTTAAAAATATCTTCCAAGTTTCCACTTACCTATGTGAATACATGGGATACAGTTACAATAACTTTTTTATGTCCTTGTCAGGTAATTCTCATATAAGTATCAGTTCTGGATTGGTATCAATTGATTTTCCCCTCACTATGGGTCATATTTTTCTGCTTCTTTGCATGATCGGTAATTTTTTATTTGACCCCAGACATTGTGAATTTTATGTTTTTGGGTGCTGGTTATTTTTGTATTCCTGTAATATTCTGAAGGTTTGTTCTGGGATAACATTACATTACTTAGAAACAGTTTGATCCCTTCAGGTCTTGCTTTTGAGATTTATTAGGTGAGAGCAATCAGTGTTTAAACTAGGCCTAACGAGTCCCCAAAACTGAGCCAAGAACTTTTTGAAAATTCTAACCAATGCTCCATAAATTAGGAGGCTTTTCAGTCTGGCTAATGGGAAAAGACTATGTTCCAGCCCTGTGTAACTAGTGACTACTGTTCCTTCTAATCATTTTGGGTGGGTCTTTCCTTGGTCTCAAGTAGTTTCCTCACATTTATCTGTTGAGCAGTGCTCTGCAGAACACTCAGGGAGGCCCTTTGCAGATCTCCAGAACTCTCTCTCTGCACCTTTCCCTATCCAGTATTCTGTCCTGAGCTCTCTAGCTACCTTGGTTGCCCCAAACCCGGAGCTATCTCCTTAGCTCAGGAAGTCTGCGTGACCCTGCCTGGGGTCTCCTTTCCTGCAATATATCTGCAAACTCTCTCAAGCAGTAAGCTGAGCAATTAGAGGGCCCACTTCATTTGTTTCTTGTCTGTCAGGGATCACTGTCCTTTCTTGTCTGATATCTAGTGTCATGAAAAATGTTGTTTCATTTTTTTCCCTGTTTGGTTGTTGTTTCAGAAAGGAGGGTAAATCTGATCCCTGCTACTCCATCTTGGCTAGAAGGGAACGTTGTATATGTACTTTAAATATATTTTTGTTCAAATCATGAAGCTTCAGATTTAAATGATTCTAATTTTGGAAAATGTCCACCATATTTCCTATTTGCAAAACCAGTCCTCTGTGTCAAACTCATCTGCCAAATCAGATTGACTTTCTATTACAAAATGTCTGATTTTCAATTTTTTATTTTTTGTTTTTAATTTTGTTTTTCAATTCAAATAATTCAAATTAAATGGAGAAGGCACAGAACTGAAACTTCTCATAGAGGCTCTCTAGGCTTTGCTCCTTCAAGGACTCCCTCAAGCAGAGTATTCTCAAGTTGTCCTTTGAGAGAATTGCCAGAGTAGGATTCAACATGAAGGAGGGGTCAACTGGGAAAATGGAGATAAAGAACTGACTGACCCAAGCCTCCTTCTTAGGCTGATCAATATAAAGAGAGGGAACAGAGAAAGGAGGAAGCTCTGGAAATTGATTTTCTTAAAACTGTCTGTGTCCACCTACCTTTTGGAAAGTCTTCATGTCCCTGTGGGAATGCAAGCCCTTGTTTGAAGGCCTCTTGTGCAGTGTGAAGCCATTGATGGAACCATTACTGATTCCTTTGTGCTAATAGAAGGGATGGGGACAGAAGCAGGCAGGAGCAGGGCTAGGTTAGCTGAGGACTTGATGCCTTGAGGTGAGTCAATTTCCAGCTTTCTTTATGAGGAATGGGTTGTCTACTGACAGTGGGGTTGTGGAAGATGGATATGGGCATCAGATATTTGAGGAAGGTTGAAAAAGTATGAAATGGTCATTATAAAGAATGGAAACTAGTAACTAGAATGGAAACTAGTTGGGCAGGGCTGAGGGTCGAGTTGAGGTTGGTGGTCATGAGTTCAGATCTACATCAATCTGCCCGGCTGTGTGATTTTTTTTAGCAATACTAAGCTCTTGCTTGATATTTATGAATTTGGTAAATGTTAGGGTTGTCAAAGGGGAGCACAAGGCCAAAAGGGGTAAAGAATTATAAATGTATTAGGTCATCTGGAAACCCAGATGGGCTGAGCCCCAAAATGGTGCCAACACCCAGGGACGAGGAGTCAGAGATTTTAAAGGGCTTTTTCTGAGTGGAGAATTCTCTGGGTGGGAAGGATAATGGTCTTAGCAAATGGAATGTGGTCTAAGTGAAAGGGAATGTCGGTTGTGAAATGATCTAAAGGTCCATTCCCAGGGGAGAGGGTATCCATTCAATGATTTGATTAGGCCTAACAGTAAAATGCTGATCCTTCCCCTATATTGAGAGATAACGGTGAATAATCACACAGAGGCCTGATAATAATTATAGTTTATCAAGGTCCTTCCAGGGCTCTTCAGTTACAGGGTGGCTTTGGACTGCCAGCCATTTACATAGCACATAATGGCTTTCTTTTATTTCTCATCTTCCCAACGAATTATGTTACAATTTCTTCTCTTAAGCATAAACACCTCCAGACCTTGAGTTACAGTCACCCCTGTGAACAGGGGTCAGGGTAGAAAGGGTTTGGAATGTCTGTTTTTCCTATCCCCAAGCTAATGGGATCTTGATGTGTGGCGTGGGCTGCCAGAGAGCTTGTCATTGCCCGTGTGTATTATCAAAGGCTGAGATAAGGCCAATATGGAAGAAAAGATCAGAAACTCTCCAGACAACGTGAAGATTGTAAAACTGCTGCCCCTCCCCTGCCTCCTTGTCCTGTTGTGCGCTGGGAGAAGAATGAAATCGGAGGGGGCTGAGGAAGTCTGGCTTATACATCTCTTGGGAGATGTCTCTTTCAGAACCACGCTCAAGTTGGGATACTGACTATTATGGTATGGGATATGCCATGTGCCAGTAAAAATCTAAGATTCTGCCGGTCACATCAATCTCTGTCTCCCATCGTCATCCAAGCGCCACAGCCATGGAAGGATGGGCTTTCCCATTGTAACAAACTATACCAAGTTACATTTTAAAAACACAGCACATATACTCTGAGTGTGAGTTCAAGGATCAGTGGCACAAATGGGAGAAATACTCTCAAGTCCCAAGAGAACTTTAATGGACTTCTATTTTAACGTGTCTCGGTATTAAGAAATCATTTCTGCAATTTTCAAGAGCAAATATGAATGCTTTGACTGGTTTTCCCCTGCCTCATAAGATGCTTCTAAGCCTCTCCCCACATGTGTCCAGGTCCACACATTCATTGTAATCACCTGTAACAATAATAAAGGGAATAGACCTGCTAAAGTCAAAGGAAATTGAAAATGCTTTAAATCCTGCTTTCTAAAACTGAGGTTTAGGGAGGTGGCTGGATTACCTGCTGGAGTGGGGTGCCTGCTGTTGGTTTGGGCCATCCTTTTTTTTTTTTGAATCCTCACCCACGGATATTTTTTCCATTGAGTTTTTAGACAGTGGAAGGGAGGGGGAGGGGAGAGACAGAGAGAGAAACATTGATGTGAGAGAGACACATCGATTGGTTGCCTACTGCACACGCCCAGACTGGGGCCCAGGATCGAGGTACATGCCTTTGACCAGAATTGAACCCGAGACCCTTCAAAAAAGGGTGTGGAAGAGCAGGGTTTTTTGGTCCAGGTCCCTGCTGCCCTCCCACAACAGTGAGTTGCTGAGAAACAACTAAGATGCTGGACTCTCTCTTGAGTCAAGGCCAGACTTCTGCTCGTGCTCAGGGGGAAGGGCTCACCTGCCCTCCCTCTGGGAGCTGATGGTCCCAGATGAGACCAGGGCCCGCTCAGCCAGGCTGTGTGATAGCAGGAGGACAGTCCATAGACAGTCCTGATGAGCAGCCCTAGGCCAGAGAGGCTGAATTCTACTTGGACATGGAGATCTCTGCGGGGACAGGTCCAAGTTATGTCCTTGTCACTACCCTCCCTTCCTAGTGTCAGGAGTCAAACGGGTTTGACTTACTTATCTTGCCCACAGGCTTCTGTGTCTTCAAATCCCATGTCTCATTTGGGCTTCTGTCCCACTTCATGAGCTACCTGGGTGAGAGGCGAGTCTCAACAACACAGGAAAAACCAAAACACTCCTTGATTTGTCTCCAGCTCTGCCAGACTGTTTGTTCCTAGAGAACTCCCTTCCCCTGTGTGATACTCATCTGTAAAATGGCCCGAATCAGGGGTTTTCACACCACATTCTGTGGAGCCTTCAGAGTTTGAGGGGTTTCCCAGGCACAGCGGAAAGGAGGGCTGAGCTGTACTCCCCACCCAGCACCCACCAGAGTAGCTGCTTTTTATCTGTTCTATATACTGTGTTTCCATACAATAATCCTTTGAAGAAAGGATCCTGCGGCTACAAAGTTTGAGAACTGCTGGAGCGGAGGATCATTCCTTCCAGTCTGAGATACTCAGGATTCTGAAGCCCAGTGCAAGTTGTTCCTCTTCCAGGAAGCCTTCCTGGTTACCCAGTCCTGGTACGCGAGCTCCAGCAATACTGAGGGTGACAGGCACAGATGTGTGAACCGTTTCCCCAGGCAGAAGGTGAGCTCCTTGAGGGAAGATATCGATTTTCCTCTGCCCCGTGCAGTACCATATGCAGAGCAGGTGTTCAGGAAGTTGCTGACGCTCTGAGCGCCATGAGCTCTGACAGGGGATAAAACCGACGTGGAGAGGAGGATTCGGCCCTTGGTCTGCTGCTGGCCACCGGGGACGCCTGTCCTCAGGAAGCTGGGGACCCTACCTGGGGAACAGCTTCAGACCCTCATAGTCCCAAAAGGGGCAGCCCTGGGTTCTTGCCTTCATTGAACTCTGCTCTCCCTCTACTTCCCTCAGTGTCTCTTCTGGTGGGGGGCTCTCCAGAGGAGGCATGCCCCTCACTCTGAACCTGGGAATCGGATTAGCCAGGATACGCTATGGCCGGGAGGCACCTCAGCTGAACTTGGGGTGACACACAGGGATGATGGGGAGGAACTCCAGGCTTGCTCTGGAAATGAAGGTAAAGTGGGGTGAGGGGAGAGAGTAGGGCTTACTCAGAGACATCCGAGAAGGCAGGTCACAGGAAGGTGCTAGAGGTAAAAGATCAGGACAGCCTTGGGATAGGTGGCCAGGAGAGTGGGAGCTGTAGTGGTGGAGTGAGTGTGGGATCCTGCTTTGCCATTTACTCGCTACGTGACTTTGGGTAAATCAGCTTAGTTGGGGGCAAAAGAACCTGGCCAACTGCAGGCTACCCTACCGTGAAATGAGATTCCAAGGAGAAAAGTATGGAAGTGTTCCGTCACCTAAGGCAGGGGTGGAACGGATTTCGATTAACAGGGGCACCCACTCTCCCTGCCACAGCAGCTTCCTAGGAAGGACCAGCCTGCAATATAAGAGGGATGCTCTGAGGCTGAGCAGCCCTCCTTCTCCTGCTCCCGCCACCTCAAGCTTGGCCTTGAACTTCTGGTCAGACTGGGTGAGTGAGGGGAGCAGGGCAGTTCAGGACAGAGGCACCAGACCCACTCTGGCACAGAGAAGCTCCCCCAAAGAGAAGCAAGTGTCCTGATAAAGAGCCCCTGAAAAGCACGAGGCCCAGGAGGCTGCTGAGGTTCCCCGGGACTCCTGCTTGGTGAGATACCCTGGGGTGGGTCCTGGCTGGCACTGTGGGGGCTCAGGAGCCCTCAGCAGGTCACAAGGAGAGCTGGGCGTTTCCCCTCCAAAGACTCTCCCCACTGAATCCTCCAGATGTGGAGTGTAAGCAGCAGCCCAGACAAAGGCTGGAATATCTGTCAGGGTTTAAAATCCAAAGCTGAAGGGTGAGGCCTCTCCATGCTGACATGGGAAAACACCATCACGCTCCGGCCTGATGCTGCCCCTGCCTGCACCCTGGTCCACGCTCTGTACCCTGATCCAGCCTTCCTGGGCCACTCTCAACTACTGTAGCCTGAAGTGTGGGTGCTGGGCCTGCGCAGCCAAACGTCTGGAAGATCTGGTTGGCTGTTGGGCAGCACCACAGGGCTGCCTTCCCCTGGCCCCCCTCGGCCCTTCCAGGACGAGCTGCTCTGGTGGGAGGCAGGCAGTGACGGATCGTACACAGTCTCCTTCAGCGCCAGCCACAGGGTGTCCCGCTTCCCGTTCAGCTGGCCTCGCTCAGGTACTGATTGCTCAGTGTCATCCAGGTCGTCTGGGGAGGCACCCATGGAATCTGGTACTCGGGCACTGGGCTCAGAGGTGCTTAGGCAGGTCTCGTCAGAGACACTGAGCCCCTCCAGGGTGCTGGCTGAGGAGCAGAGGCAATCAGGGGGCTCTACAGCCTTGGGCTTGGGGGCGTGGGCTGGGGCTGGGGCTTCTGGTGAGGCCTGCACCGGCTCAGCCTTCTGTCCTTGGGAGTCCTGCCTGGCCTGGGTTTGGGGGCTGGGGCCAGCCTGCTTATAAGGGGAGGAGGTCTGCAGGGCTGGGCACTGGCTGAAGACTGCCTGGTGGTCCAGGAACAGCTCTCTTGGTGAGGCAGGGGCCAGTGGGGGCCGGGAGCAGCAGGGGCCATCATGAAGCTGTATATCCTCAGAGAGCACAGAGGGCCGGTGAGACAGTTTGCTGGTGGCTGTGCTGGTATCAAAGCTGGGGCTTCGGCGCCGTGCCAGGGGCTGTAGCTCATACTGCTCTGAGCAGGACCCGGGTGGCCCTGGTCGTGGGCGGCCTACCTTCTCCCCACCTGGCTCTCCGGCTCTGGCGTCCCACGGCAGGTGGGCACAGGGCCAGAGGATCTGCCCACAGTTCTTCTCTGGCCCAAAAAAACAGCAGAGAGATTGGAAGAAGAAGCTGGCAAAGCCACAGCTGACGCACTTGACCATCATGAGGATAATGCCCAGCTTGCGATAGAGCAGCACCGTGGCAGGCAGCATGAGCACACCGGCGGCAAACAGGGCTGCAGCCCCCATGGCTGTGGCGCGGCTGGTCTGGCGCAGCGAGAAGGCCACGCGGCTCAGGCGGTCTGGGTGTGGGCAAAGGTGATAGGAGATGCAGTAATTGACAGTGAAGTCTACCGAGAGGCCCACAGAGGCAGAGAGGAAGAGCACCTCGGCAGTGTTGAGCTGCCACTCCAGCAGAACCAGGAGCCCCACGGTGAGCAGTACCGTGCCTGCCACCGCTGTCACGGAGAACAGGCTAAGTGGAACGTTCCAGGTGCCCAGCAGCAGTGTGGCAAAGGCCAGCGCCAGAGCCAGGCCTAGCACCACAGCGGGCTCGGTGCTCAGGCTGTGCTGCAGGCTGTACAGCTCCAGACGGCTGGTGAACCAACCCTGGCGGAGGCCGGGAGGTGCCCTGCTCAGTTCCGCCGCCAGCCAGTGGCTGACCTCAGAGTAGAAGTGGTGAGCCTGGCTGTAGTTGGGGCTGTACTGGAAGCTGGTCTGGAACTGGAGGACCAGGGCAGTCAGGCTGCCCTGGGTGTTGAAGCGGAGCCCCAGGTCCCGGGTGCTCTCTGGGCCTTGCTCCAGAGCCATCACCTTGAGGCAGTGCAGGAAAAGCTGCGGTGCCCAGGGGAAGCCCGAGGGGCCACAGCAGAGGCCAGGCCCCAGGCGAGCACAGCTGGGGCTCGCCATCCAGTGTTGGAGGGCCTCCACGAAGCACAGCGTGGGCCAGCCCTCTGGCTGGGCACCAAAGAAACTCTGGTTCCGAGCCCCGTAGCAGAGTGCCAGCAGCCAGCGCTGTGCCTCGGGACTGCTGGCAGAGAAGGCGGGGTCACTTACCAGGGAGCTGTTGCTGCGAGGGTCCAGGGGGTCCCCAGTGTCTACGGGCAGGATGCCCCACACCAGGATCACAGGCATGTGGCCGCCCTCGCCCTCCGGCAGCCGCTCGAACTGGAATTGCTGGCGGTACTCTGCGTCGAAGCGCTCGAAGGGGTGGCTGGGCCGGAAGACCTGGCCGCGGGGCGGCAGCAGCGTGGGCAGCCGCAGGCGGGGGCTGACGCCGGCGATGTAGGCGCCCCCTGCCGCCAGCGCCGTGAACCAGCAGATCCAGATGTAGCGGAACTTGATGACGCCGCAGGGCAGGAGGCGCTGGAAGAGCAGGCGGGAGGTCCCGGCCACGGCCCTCCGTAGGCCGCGGAGCCGCCGGTGCAGCGCCAGCGCCAGCCGCCGGGGCGCGCTGCCGGCCCCCCGGCCCTGCCCCCGGGCCCCACAGCTGCGCGCCAGGTAGCGCTCGTGGAGCACGAACGAAGAGGGCAGCCAGGCCAGCGCGAGCGCCAGGTGCGCCAGCACGGCCGTGCCCATGTAGAGGGCGAAGCAGCGCACGGCCGGGAGGCGGCTCAGGTAGCTGGCGTAGAAGGCCGCGCTGGTGGTGAGGCCGGAGACCAGCAGCAGATAGCCGAAGTGATGCATGGTGCGGCCCACGCGCTGCACCAGCCCCCCGGAGGGCAGCTGGCTCTTGCTGAGGCGCCAGAGGTCGGAGAAGACGAGGGTGTGGTTGGTGCAGACGCTGCTGAGCAGGACGAGGGCCGCCAGATTGACGAAGGGGAAGTAGGCCATGCGGAAGGCCACTCGGTAAAGAAAGAAGGCCACCAGGAGGGAGCCCAGCACCCCCAGCAGCACCATGAGCGTGAGGAAGAAGGAGCGCAGGTAGAGAGCAATGCTGAGGAAGATGGCAGCCAGGGCCAGCAAGGGGTACACCGTGTCCTGGGCTAGGTAGTGCCTCAACAGCTCCTGCTTGAGGCCCAGATCCATGCCAGTGATGGACGTGTAATTGTCAGAGAGCCCCCAGGGGGTGGCTAGGTGGTCCAGGTAGATGCCCATCATGGAGGCACCCTTTGGGGTGGGCAGGAAGAGCAGGCTGTACTTGAGGGAGGGCACCTGGTAGTCAGCAGTCTGGGGACTCAGAAAGTCCTTGTCCAGCAGAAAGTGCAGAAGTTGGTAGACGGCGCTGCTCCGGGAGCACTTGGTGGGAAGCTGGGCACAGCGTGAGGGCTTGTCCTGCCCAGGTCCCAGACAAGGGGGCCCCAGGGCCCCACGGTGGTAGTAGAGGGCACAGGTCCGGAGCAGGGCCAGTATTCGGGCTGCGTCTGCGTGAGTCGTGTCCAGGCAGGAGGAGCGGTTGGAGAGCACTGCCACATAGTTGCCCAGGGACCAGCTGGGGCAGCACTCGTTGGCTGCTGTGCGCTGGCACAGAGCCCCAAAGCGGTGATGGGAGCGAATCTGTAGGGCACAGAGAGCAGGAGAGAGCTCAAGGGCAGTGCCGGGCCGGGTTTCCCAGCCCTGTCCAAGGCCTTCTCACCTCCTTTCAGGCTGCAGAGCGGAGGGAGAGAGGCATCCTGACAACCCAGCAGAACTGGCTTGTCTCAGAGCTGCCTTTGGCTCGTGGCCCAGGTGTCAGCACTTAACATCTTGACTCCATCAAAGAGGAGCTTCAGGAATGGTGCTGAGGCCCCAGCCTGAGAGGTCCTGCCCTAAGGGCCCCTGCAGGTCACACACCTCAACTCTACACTGTCTGAGCCAGGAGTAGGAGTGGAAGTGGCAGTCACAGATGGAACAGGGCCAAAGGTCCAGGGAACTGGAAGCAAACGGTGAGAAAAGCGGAGGCCAAAACATTCCAGGATCGGAGTCACTGCCAAACCCTCGCGCCCCCCCCCTCCCCTGTCTACTAGTCTGCTTCAACCCTCTTAGGCACAGGTCTGTGTCTTTATCAGACCTCATGCCTCCTTTTCTCTCCCACTTGCTGTTGACATCACAACAGCTGGTGTAGTTAGTTTACAGAGAGCACCCGCCTGGGAACCAGAGGCTCTGTTCTGCCACCAGCTGGATGTATGGCCTTGGCTCTGAGATCATGGTGACTATGGTAACATTTATTGAGATCACTATTGCCAGTCATTATGTTACAGTTTTACAAACTCTATCTTACTTGTCACAACATTCTTATGAGGAAATACCATTCTTATCCCCACTTTATTATTTGTTTTCTGTTTATTTATTTATTTTAAATATTTTTTAATTGACTTCAGAGAGGAAGAGATAGAAACATCAATGATGATAGAGAATCATTGATCGGCTGCTTCCTGCATGCCCCACACTGGGGATCGAGCCCGAAACCCAGGCATGTGCCCTTGACCAGAATTGAACCCGGGACCCTTCAGTCCACAGGCTGATGCTCTATCCACTGAGCCAAACCGGCTAGGGCTTATCCCACTTTATATATTCAAAGACTGAGGCACTGAGAGGTTAAGAAACATGTCTGAAGTCACACAGCTTGCGGGAGGGCCGCTGGTAGTCAGCAGTCTGAATTCCCCTAGGGCAGCGGTTCTCAACCTGTGGGTCGCGACCCCTTTGGAGGCCGAATGACCTTTTCACAGGGGTCACCTAAGACCATTGGAAAACACATATAATTACATATGGTTTTTGTGATTAATCACTATGCTTTAATTATGTTCAATTTGTAACAATGAAAATACATCCTGCATATCAGATGTTTACATTACGATTCATAACAGTAGCAAAATTACAGTTATGAAGTAGCAACGAAAATAATTTTATGGTTGGGGGTCACCACAACATGAGGAATTAACTGTTTTAAAGGGTCGCGGCATTGGGAAGGTTGAGAACCACTGCCCTAGGGAGTATTGGAGCTGGCCTTGAAATCAGCATCTGACGCCAGAGCACATGGTCTTTTTTGTTTGTTTTGTTAATCCTCACCCAAGGATATTTTTCCATTGATTTTTAAAGAAAGTGGATGGGATGAAGAGAGGAAGAGAGAGAAAGGGGGGCGAGAGAAAGAGAGAGAGAGACATTGATTGGTTACCTCAAGCCTGCAATTGAGGTATATGCCCTTGACCAAAATCCAACCTGCAACCCTTCCGTCCGGGGGCTGATGCTCTATCCCAGTGATGGCGAACCTAAGACAGCGTGTCAGAGGTGACACGCGAACTCATTATTTTGGTTGATTTTTCTTTGTTAAATGGCATTTAATTATATAAAATAAATATCAAAAATATAAGTCTTTGTTTTACTATGGTTGCAAATATCAAAAAATTTCTATATGTGACACAGGACCAGAGTTAAGTTAGGGTTTTTCAAAATGCTGACACGCCGAGCTCAAAAGGTTCGCCATCACTGCCCTATCCGCTGAGCCAGACTGGCGAGGGCAGAGCACATGTTCTTCACCAGTGTCTTTTGGCGGATACCCGTGTGCACTGCTTGGATTGATGGGCCTGGGCCCTTGGGCTGGGGCCTCTTTAACAGTCTTGAGCTCCTTTTTAGGACCTTTAGGAAAGCCCCGGGCTCTGCATGTTCTGTCTTCCAACACTTGTGTTTTGGCTCTTCGTTAATCCTCACCCAAGGATATTTTTGTTTTGTTAATCCTCACCCCACCCACTCTTCGTCCCCCACCCCCACCTGGAGCCTCTCAGCAGCACTGGGACCATTTTCTAAGCAGGGAAGGCTCTTCCCCAGGCCACCCTGGCAGTCCTGGCTCAGCAGCATTTCCTTGGGGTCAGGTTCTTGGTGTCCTGGTTCCCACCACACCCAGCCCCTGGTACCTCCCCAGTCAGCTCACCTGATCCTGTTCCATGTGACACATGGAATGGATGGCATGTAGGTTCCACAGGCTTCCCGCTGAGGTGGACATGAATACCAGCTGTGCATAGCTCTTCTCTGCAACACACCCCAAAGCTCAGCCCTTGTTGCCCCAGGTCCTGGGCCCACCAAAGGAAAGATTCTTACCCAGGGTCGTATGAGGTTCAGATTCTCAGGAGGCTGAAACCTGTTCCTGGCTGCTTCATGCTGGGCCTGCGTCCCAGCTTGTGTGCCCCACCCACACCCAGCTTGACTCTACCTGGCTGGAGCACCTGAGACCTGCCTCATCTTCCCAAATATAACCCACTTCCTCCGCTTGAATATAGCCAGCTGGCTTCTTTCCCTTTCTGTCTGCTCAAATTTGTTCTTCTGGCCCCTTCTGTTCTAGTAGGTGGGGGTAGGGACCACCATTAAAGCCACGAACTGGCCAGCTGAAGCTTACCAGGGGGGCCACAGAAGAAATTCTCTTGCCCTCTGTCCTCCAGGGGCTCCACCATCCTCCGGGGCCGGACCATGCCCTCCTGGGCACTACTCCAGGGTGTGGGGCTCAGCGTGGTGTGGGGGTTTGAGCTGAAGTATAGAGAAAAGCAATGCCAGGCATCGTCAAGGGGTGGGGTGCTCAGAGGAGGCCAGACGCTACTCCCCAGAGGTCCCCAGCAAGCCCCTCTGACCTACCTTTGCGGAGGTCACCCAGTGGCCTCTCTCTGGAGGCCTCATTTTTTCTCCCATTCCCCTCAGTGGTGTGGGAAGATGGGAACCCATTACCTGTTCAGCTCAAGGTCTGGGGAGAGGGAAAGCAGCTTCCCGGGGCCCGTGAGGGTCTGCAGTGCTCTCCAGACCACTAGCTTCCGTCCAATGTCTGTGTCCCGAGGCTCAAAGCCCTGCGGGAGGAGGAAGATGAGGCAAGTAGGAGGAGGGGTTTTCCCGCTGGTCCTTCTTGGCTCTGCCCCCTTGAGTCCCTGGAGCAGGGAAGGCCAGCCTACCTGCCTGGATTGTTGAACGGGAGTATCACCTCTATACCCTCTTCCCAACTCTCTCTGTAGGCTGAGAGCTCACCACTGCCACCCCACCCCCGGCTGGGCCACTCTGACTTGTTGCCCCAGACTGAGCTGAGGTGGCCAGGCCTGGGGCCCCCCTCCCTCCCCTTGACCCCTCACCAGCAAGGGCTTGGAGAAGTCGGGCAGGTGGCCCCCCAAGAGTCCAGCCAGGGTGCAGAGGAGGATGACAGCTAGACACAGCAGCAGCACTGCCACTGGCCACTCAGCAATCAGCTGGGAATAGCTGGGAAAGAGGAGGAGAGCCTGCATGAATTGGTGTTGGGTGTGGTAGAGGGGCTGGTGAGCTTAGGAGCCACCAAGAAGGAGTAGTGGACCTGTACTGGGCACAGCCTGGTCACTCTAGAGGTCAAGAGAAGGCCTAGGCCTACCTCTTTGGCATCCGGAAGGCCTGTTCCTGCCTGTGGAATAGAAGAAAAGACACTTGCTTGTCAGAGTCCTCTTACAGGGTGAGAGGTGGGGGTAGGAGGATAGAGGATGACGGCATTAACCCTTTTAGGCTTTTCCATACCACAGCTACAGCCCTTACTTCCTCCTCCATCCATGCTGCCTCCTTCATCAGAGGCAGGGGACATCTTGGGCTGCCTGAATGATGGAGTTCAGATCCCGGGGTGGGGGGGATTGGGGTGGAGGGTGGACCTACTTTTTAGCCCAGCCCTACCTTCCAGTGGCAGCTGGCAGGCTACTAGACCCCTCTTACCTGACGCTGATCACGTGGTGCTGCACAGATGGGGGCTTCCAGGCCCCATAATGCTGTGAGGGGGCTGGGGAAGGGCTGAGGCTGGAGCCATGGGAGCACAGAGCGGCTCGGTCCCCAAGCCCTGGCAGGGAACTGCCCCCTCGGTATTCCTTCGGTGCCCGGGTATAAGTGAAGTGGGCAGGGGCCAAGGGGCTGGACGGGCCCACAGGCTGGAGGGTAGAAGTTGCCGGTGGAGGTCCCAGAGAACTGGAAGGGTCCTCAAGGGGACAGCTGTGAAGGGAGCAGCTCCTTTCTGGGCTTGCCTCAGGGGCCACAGCCTTGCTCTGGGACCTGGGGAGAGAAGAGGCAGGGAAGATTGGGTGAGGCAAACTGGTGAAAGCTTTCTTTCTTTTTTTTTAAAAAATATTTTTTTGTTGATTTCAAAGAGGAAGAGAGAGGGATAGAGAGAGAGAAACATCAATGATGAGAGAGAATCATTGATTGGCTGACTCTTGCACGCCTCCTACTGGGGATCGAGCCCAAAACCCGGGCATGTGCCCTTGGCCGAAATCGAACCCAGGACCCTTCAGTCCCCAGGCCGACGCTGTATCCACTGAGCCAAACCGGCTAGGGTGAGAGTTTTCGATTACTAGTCCTGGAGGACAGGCAAGGAGGGTGGGGACCGTGGATCTATAGCCCCAATCTACTTCTTAGGGGTCCATTGTCTTATTGACTCATCTGTCCATGCACTCAAAACACACACACACACACACACACACACACACACACACACACACACACACTATTGTCAGCCTGCTACATGCCAGACACTGTGCTAGGCAACGAACATGCTTTTACATGTATGACCTAATTACGCTTTACAAGAGCCTACAGGGGAAGTACTTTCCTTGTTTATAGATTTGAAAACGGAGTTTCAGTGAGATGTGAAGAGCTGGGCCTTGAGCCCAGTTCTGACTTGCAGTCCTGTTTTCTTTCTGTTGCAGTCATTGGTTCATTCTCTTGTTAGATATTTGTTGAGCACCTGCCACACTCTTGTCCCCACAGATAACTGCTCCTCTCCCAGGTAATTGCATGGCTCACACTCTGTTCTCAGTTTGATTACCTTCTTGGAGAAGCCTCCCATGACTACCCTCTCTAAATAATCACCCACCAGTTCTCCATCCCCCTACCTGCTTTGTAATTTTTCAGAGCAGTTGTCACAACTGGACATTATATGATATAGTTGTCATGGTTATTGCCTGTTTCTCATATGAAATGTGAGCTATAGGAGAGCAGGGGCCTGAAGCATTTGTTCATCTCTCTATCCTCAGTGCCTTGCGCACAGAAGGTGCCCAGGGAATGTTTGTTGAATGAATACCGAGTGTCAGACAGTCTGTTAATAGTGGTGCTAGGATAAAGAAGTCGCAGCCCTTGTCTTCTAGGCACTCAGAGTAGGTGGGAGATGTGGACAGTCTAACATGTTGAGTGCTGTGGGAGAGGTCACAGAGGGCTGAAGGAGCCCAGAGGAGGGCTCGACCTTCACAAGGCTGGGGATAGACAGGGAAAGTGTGGCTAAGGCAGTTACTGCCTTTCCACCAACCTTGGGCCATGGGACACAAGGTTTGCTTTGTGAGGGTGTGCACAGTTGGGAGATAGAGTTGGGACCCCCAAGGAACTTTCCAGGAGGACTCAGAAATAGATGTCTCTTCCAAAATCACTAATGAAGGCAACATACTGTGTAGGGACTCAGCGCACCCCTTGGGTGTGGGGGTAGATGGAGTCCACCCCCCACAGTGACAGAATGGCCAGACTTAGAACACGAGGAGATGGCCACAGAACAGAGTTCTGGGATGGGTAGCCTTGGCAGAGCCCTGCCTCTTTCCCTCCATTTCCCTGAATCCTGTGGCCTGCCAGAGCTTGCATAGCCCTTGTGGGAGAGCAAGGCGTATGCGGAAACAACCAGGCTTCTAGCCCTGCCTGCTGCACTGCTGAAGGGGTTGTGGGCCGGAGTCCTGATGCCAGTGGGCATTGCCCACAGAGGCGGGGTTCTGCCCAGGGACCAAGCAGAGGAACGGCAAAGAATAGGCAAACTCATCCTCTTCCTCCAAGAAGGCTGGCAGACCCTTATGCTGAGAACAAAATGGGGGAGCAGTGGTGGTGTCCTCCTGGCCCGTCATCCTCTAGCTCTGGGACCTTGGGAAAGACACACAATTCTCAGAGCACTGGCATCCTTGTCTGTGGCATAAGGGTATGATGATAATGATCCCTCCCAGGTTTGGTATTAACAGATATAGCATATGTGGGAGACACATTTGCTTTCCTGCCCCTCCTCACACTCAGTGCTGCAGGGAGCATGTAGTTTAAGAAGTATATTTATATTTACAATTTGACCTCTTTAGGCACCTCAGATAATATATCTCTATTTGAGAACTCCGCACACCCTGAGAATCTCACTACATATATAATTATAAATACTTTCCTTTCTTTTAATACTTTCTTTTTCGTTCATCAAAAGCTTCATCGGAATTTGATGTCCTGATATAAATCACTGATACTTTTCTTTTTGCTAACAACATTTAGAAAAATAGGAATTTGATCAATGTTGTTCTAAAGCAAGACCTCAGATGACCCCATAAAGTTAATGACATAGCAACCAGTGTCCTGCCAGTTAAAAGACCTTATGGGCCCATCTCCATGGGCCAGAAGAAAGCTGCATAAATGGCCTGAGTTTATGTGTTTAAGTGTGGACATCTACCTCTTTAAGATTTTTATTCTGCAGGTATATTGTGAGCACCTGCCACACACTGAGCAGGGTGCTTGGTCTGGGTTGGATTCTGAAGAATGAAGATGGCCCATTAGTCTTGGTCTCCCTCTTTAGAGCAGGGCCTGCCTTCCAGCGGTCAGGAGGGTGGGGCAACAAGGATGCTTATTCCAACGTGCCAAGGCCTTAAAGCACTCACTGAGTACTTGACTTGTCCTAGGAGCCACGGTCCCACTTAGCAGGTCAGTTTCTTTTTCTTTAAGGGAAGTCAGCACTCCAGGGGGCGCTGGAGGAGACCATGAGCACAATCCCTTGACCAGTCTACCAAACCTCATAAGTCTAACTCCTTTGGGTGGCTTCTGTTCAAGGGAGAGTCCAGCCTCCACCATTGATTTGCTTTTACTAAGGTCTTCCTGGAGCCATCCCTTTTCTTTTAACCCCTTCTTTCCCTCTCCAGGGACCTAGGATCTACAGTTCCCAAATATCACTCTTTTTGACTGTGCCCATCATTGTCAACAGGTAGAATTTTTTAAAATTGATTTTTCAAAGAGAGAGAAATAGAGGAAGGGAGAGGGAGAGGGAAACATTGATCTATCAGCTGCCTCCTGCACTCCCCCTACCGGGGATCAAACCTGCAACCAGGGCATGTACCCTAACTGGGAATTGAACCAACAACCTTTCAGTGCATGGGATGATGCCCAACCAACTGAGCCACACCAGCCAGGGCAATATGGTAAAATGTGGAAACTCCACATTCTGACTGCTGTAGGACTGGGCCTTTGTCTCAACTCTTTCAAGGAGAACAGCCAAACTCTCCTCAGAATAAAAGCTTTCTCTTGCTAGCCCCTGCTGCCCGCTATGCTCAGGAGACCTAGTAATAATATGAGTTAAGCACTCCAGACCTTGCCTCCCCAGGGGGCTTTCATTCTCACCCTCTCAGTTCCATGGCTCTGACTGGGATGAGCTACTTTCTGGGCTGACTGCCTGGGCCGGCTGGCTTGTAAGCCAAGTGACTGAGACAGGCAGGCAGGGAGTTGGAAAGTAGTGATGCAGGCCTCCTTAAGAGGCCAAAGTCACAGCATTCAGGGCCTCGCTGACAGGGCTCCAGACACAGAGTCCCCACTTGGGAGGCTTATAAGGGGCAATGCACACGTGCATTAATCTTTCCCCCAAATCCACAGACACAGCCATATGGACATCCATGTGATCCTGCAGAGTGGCCAGGGGAGATGGGGAAGCAGCTCACACCAGTAGGAAAATAAAAACACAAAGAATGAGCTTTTCAAATTGCTCTGTAGTCAATGCATTAGTAAAGGACTGCGTGTGGGCGCACACAGGCACGCCATCATATTCACTATGAATCTATCCCCCAGAGTCAATTTGCCTGATTAGAATTCAGCGTCCCTGGGGATGTACAGCGAGGCGCCAGAGGTCCCAGGGAGTTGTTGGAGGAGAGCAAGTGATTCCTGTGCTCAGGATTGACCCTCATGTGCAGGGGAGGTGAGCAGACCAGACAGTGTTGATCCTTGGCAGACTATCCAAGACGCCAAATGACTCTCCAGTCCCTTCTGGGGAGGCTCCTGGCCCAGGACCCTGCTCTGCCCCGTCACTCTTCCTGCCCTGTCCACCCCTGGCTCTTTGGTCAGGCGACACTCCCAGGTAGACCCTGGTCCAGGAACACATCCACCCTGTGTCTCACCCCTTTGAAGAAAACTCTGGGCCTTTCAGATGCAAAGGTGGCTAACTCTGTCCAGGCTGATGTGTTAACAATAGAGGGAAGGAAACATTTCTTTTCACTTGTGGGGCATCCTCTTGCTCTGAGGTACAGACTGTACATTTTAATCGGAGCAGCCTGGAGACCATGTGCCTACCTCTGCTTTGAGCCTCCAAAGAATGCCTCTTATTTCAGCCCAGGCAGGATGGAAAGGCAGTGTCATGTCAGGGGAGGGGTTCTGGAGGCGGCAGACCTAGCAGGGCACAGACATTGCGCCATATTGCTACCTGGCTGGGCTGTTCCCTCACACATATGGTGCAGGAAGAGAGAGGAGAGCACCAAGATCTGGGCCCTCAGCGGGAATGTGTTCCTCCGTCCGCCCTCCTGGGGCTCCTTGGAGGGCGGGGGGCGGGAGATGGTTCTGACGGTGGCCTGAGCCTCTGAGCCTGCCCACTTTAGTGCCTCCAGAGAGTGCAGGCAGCTGCCACATGCGGGGACTCTGGCCCACACGTGCACAGCTGGCCATGCCGGGTAGAGTGGACAAAGACAGTCCCTGGCGTGGCCGCCGAGTGTCCGCCCTCCCCAGGGCACACACCTTGGCGAGCCTCCCGTCTACGATACACACACTTCCTCCAGCACACTGACACGCTGGAACCCGGACTGAGGTGGCCGCAGGCTGGGGGCTCACTGAGAAGGCGAGCGGGCAGGGCCTAGAGGGAGTGGCTCGGAAGGCCGATGGGGTGGGGTGGGGTGGGGTGGGTGGGGGGAACCCCGGGCCTTAGAGGTATGGTAGGAACAGTGGGAGGGGCAGTTCCCCCGGGGCGACCAGGGAGGTGGGAGCTGACAGTAGGGGGTATCAGCGAGAGAGAAAATTGATTTGGCAGAATGAGGGCGTGGCCAGGGGGCCCGGAGCCTGGAGGCGCCGGAAGGGGCTCCGACAGGGGCTGGGATTGCATGGGGTGATGTATGGCGGCTACTGGGGATACCCGGGGCGGGGGTGCTGAGAAGGTCTGAGAGTTGGGTCTGTGGAGTGGTCTGCCCTACCTGTCCGGGGAGCTGCCATCTGGGGCCAGAGGCTCCCCCTCGTGCCGCTGCTCCCCTTCCGGACCCGGGCCGGGAGCCGAACCGCTACCGCTGCTGCAGCTACCTCGGTCCATGCCCGTGGGCGGTGCCGCTGTCCGGGCGCTGGTGCTGAAGCGGTCGCGGGGTGGGCTCCTGCGCATGCGTAGGCGCCGGGCGGGCCGATTGCTGGGCGGGGCCGATCCGGAGCCCAACCAATGGGCACAGCGCCGGGGGGCGGGGACAGAGGCTACCCGCGGCGCCGGCTGCCCGGAGCTGGAGGCTCGCTAACCCTGAAGACCCCGGGCTGGCGGGCTCGCGGTGTGGGCCCCTTAACCAGGCCAAGTCTGAGAGCCGCTGTTAGGAGTCCGGCTCTCTGGCTGTGGTCTGCACACCGGCCTTTCCTCAGGGGCATCGGTCTCCCCGCAAGGAACCAGGAAGCGCGACCCGGGCACAATGTGCAGAGCCTCGCAACTTGAAATGCAGACTTTACCCGTCGGAAAGAGGGAGCACGGCACAGGGCACTGAGGGGTGAAGGCCCACATTTCTCTCGGCTCCGTTCAGCGACCCCCTTTTCTCCCCAGTGGGGCTGGGCATCTGCTCAAGTTGGGTCTTCCTGTACGTTCATCTGGACCTGGACCTGAGTCTGCGCCCATCAGACACGGAGCCCCAATTCTGTTATTGCGTGGAGTGCAATGGGGAGGGGGAAGAAAGACACTCAAGAGAATCCCTGGTTCCTTTTCTGATAATGACCCTACTTGAGCCTGGGAAATACCCAGTACCCACTCACTTGCTGCCTTTCCCGTCTGGGAATGACTGAGGGAGGGGAGGTGTGATGGGCTGTGGCTAGGCCTGGCTAGAGGGCTGTGGCAGCGCTAGAATAGATAGGGGCAATGTAAGGAGTCTGGGAGTTGGCGAGTGGAGAGGGTCCCAGATGTAGGGTTTGCATAAGCAGAAAGGGTTTCACAGCAAGCAGTCTGGATGTGTGTGCAGGGAGGTGCCTTGGTTGAAGAATGGGGCTGGGGGGAGAGTTAGAACCCAGAAGCATTTGGAGTGTAGATATCCCAAAACTGTGTGCAAATGCCATTCTGTGCAAGGCATAGGTCAGCAGGGGGCGGGGGTGGGGAAATCTAGATGTGTAGAAGTGGTAGGACTGCCCTGGGTACCTTAGTTTGGTTGGAGAGATAAAAGGCTAGCCCATATAAATTGGTGCTGACTGGGTAGGGTGTGGTCAGGCCCATGTGATAGTTGATATAAGCTACAGAGAAGGAGGCAGTGTGCAGAGAGAGGACTTCTCTTTTCCTAATGGGCTTTAGGGAAAACTCCATTGATGGTGGAGCTCCAGGTGGCTTGGAAGCAAGGAATTACTGACCTGGGGATAGGGCAGGGATGGTGGTGGCAGTGAGGAACTGTGCAAAGTTAAGGAGGCTGGAAAGTTCAATGTATGTTCAGGGACTGGTGAGAAATATGTCTGGACAATAGGGATCCATTAAAGGTTTCTGATCTATAAAGTGAAGTAAGATGGAACGTTGGAAGGCCCACCAGGTCAGGGTGTATGTGATAGGCCACATGTGAGGCCCTCTGATGGGAGGAAGCAGAAGTGAAAGGAGAGGTGGCCTTATACCACCAGATGCTATGGGGACCACTGAGCCAAGGTTCTAAGAATGCCTGGCTGGGTACCCCATTCTCACAACTAGGGAACTCAGAGACTGCTGGACCCCTGAGTGACAGGTTGGATGTGAAGGAAGACAGGCTCTTTTAAGAGTAAAACATGGTGCCCAGGCCTGTGTGGCTCAGTTGGTTGGAGCATCATCCCGTGCACCGAAGGGCCATGGGTTTGATTCCCAGTCAGGACACATATCCAGGTTCAATCCCCAGTTGGGGCATGTACGGGAGGCAACTGATCGATGTTTCTCTCTCACATGTCTCTCTCTCTCTCTCTCTCTCTCTCTCTCTCTCTCTCTCTCTTAAAAAAAAAAAAAGGAATAAAACATAGCCTTTAGGAGGCTGTTCTTAGGAAGAAAAGACTCTGGTTCAGGCTCCATGTCAGGTCAGCAGGGCAACCCACTCAGGCTTCCCATTCTTGTGCCTTTGTTCTGCTTGCTCAGTGATGTGAACCAGGGGATGGCCCACAGGACCCTTGGGGTGGCTCCCCTCCAGGCAGTGCCCAGAGCCAGGGTCATGGCCATGCCCACCATCATGGCAGTGCTCCCGTGGAAAGACAAATGAACAATGTTAGAGTCAGTGCCAATCTCACCCCAAATCGACACTCCTCTTCTCCCTTCTCTCTGCCTGCTGCTGTAGAGGACTCAAGATTCTGGGGCCCTAGCAGGGGATGGTGCTGGAGGGTTGGGAGGCAGACAGCAGTGACAGTTCCTAGCTCTGGGCCTTTTGCTTTGATGAAACCAGAGTATTGAGCAGACAAAAGGGAGGAAGCTAGATTCATTTGTCTCCATTCCTTGAGTTGAGATATGACTCCCACTCCCTGGGCCTCATTTTATTTTATCTGTAACAAAGAAGCAGAATTATCTCAATCTCATCTTCTCCCTTCCATCACCCAGGAACCCTTGTGGAGTGACTAGAGGTTTTGCCATGCTAGGAACTGCAAGCTGACTGTACTTCCAAATGAGGGTGGGGCTGGGGGGGCTACAGAGGAGCTCACTGTGGGCCAGAGGCAAGGAGGAGACAGAAGGCAGGGTCAGGGGAACTGCAGGATTTGTAGGAATGGAGGAGGGGGAGGAGAAAAGGAAGATTAGGAGGAGGAGGAGGAGGAGGCGGTGGAGGAGGAAGAGGAGAAAGGCAGCTGGAGGGTGGGAGGAGACCAAAGGTAGGAAGTGGCAAGTCAAGGGTATTTGTGTCCACTATGTAGGAAGTGCGTGCACGTGGGTGGGGACACGGGTGTGTGCCACTTTACATAAAAATAGCTGTGTCTGTGTACATGTGCACGGGTGGTGCATACACATGCCTGCTGTGTACACAGATATATGCATATGGGTGCATGTGCATGGTTGTAGGTACAGGACAATGGGGATGTGTGTGAACCTGTGCCTGTCCCTGAACAGGTGCCAGACTCAAGAAACCAGAACGAATAGAAAGTAAAATCAATGCTTTACTGCCTCAGCCAGCAGAGGCCTGGGAAGAGGGTGGTTTAACCTTCAGTCTTGGCTGGAACCACTCCAGAGGCCCCAAGGTCAGAGGAGTTGCTCTGCCTCTTGCCACAGGCTGAGGGAAGAGAAGTGAGATAACACCTTGCCTGGGATCCTGAGGGAGCAGGGGTAGGGCTATGCTCCTACTCTAGGGGTGGGATACCTTCCCAGGCTGCTTCTGCCTCCTAGGACCTCGTAAAGCCTGGGGAGTGGGGGTTGCCATGGGGATGGCTGCTTGGGGGATGAGGGGGAAGCAGGCTCCAGGACTAGGGGCTTTCCTGTGACCATGTGAGAGCAGTCCCTGCCCCATCCAGGCTCTGTGATGCCTGGAAATAGCCCCTTCCTACCCTGCCCACCTCTCCTTCCATGACTATTTTTATGGTAGGACCAGTTCCAGGCCTAGGAGCTGAGTCTGCTGGTGGTAGCAATGAAGGGATTGGGGGAGCAGGGGCGAGAGCCGGCAGCCTCCCTTCTCTGGCCTAGTCAGGTCATCGGGGCCCTGTAGTGTGGTAGGGGTTTGGGAGCAAGCCAGCCAGCCAGGAAGGCTGTGGAGGTAGCCAGGAAGGCAGGAAACATGAACAGGAGGGGAAGCAGCAGGAGAGAGGATGGGCTGCTGGGGCAGGAAGGGAGTGAGAGGAAAGGAGAGAAACAGATGGAAAATATGAGAGCAGCTGAAGAGAAGGCTGTAACCGGCAGGGGGTGGATGAGCGCTATGGGGCTGATGGCTGTGCCTGCTCCCCACTCTTCATTTGGGAAGGTCTGAGAAGGCGGCTAGAGGTCTGGAGGACATAGCAGCGGGTGGGAAAGGAAGATGACTGGGAAACTTTCCTACCTCCTGACCTGTGGGAGAGAAAGGGACAAGAAGCAGCAGCTTTGGTCATTTAGTTCTGCAGTGAGAAGCCTGTTCTCTCCCTGGTGCTGATTTTGTGCCCACCCCCACCCCACCTCCAACAAAGGTCTTCAGACTTGATCACTTGCTTGACCATTATTCCTTCCTTCATTCACTCAACAACAGGATATTGAAAGTTAGTGCCAAGTTCAGCAGTGCATTCCCATTTGCTCAAGAGCTGGCTGAGTCCTCCTAGGTGGGGTGGGGCCAGTTAGGAAGTGTGGGTTCTTGTCCCCACCCTGTCGGCTGTCTGTCCTCCAAATCTCAGCCAAACTCCATGACACTAAGGGAGACACTCTGCACTGGCAAACCCTGATTCTTCTGCTTCTACACCCAGACAGGCCCCACCCAGCCTCCCCATCTCCCCCTCCCCCCATCCCACTTTTCTCAGCCCAGTCTCTGCTCAGATCCTCAGCTGTTTGTGGCTACTGCTTATGATCTTCTATTTCCCTCTGCTAGCCGTTGCTCATACCCCGTTACTTGAAAATCTCTCTTGCTCAGCTCTGTGTTGCTTTCCTGCAGGATGTCTGGTTAGATTGGGCCATTCTGCCTGCCCTGCCTGCTCAGCTGCGATCCAATGGCTCATTCTTCAGTAACCAATCTGAGTGGTCTTGGGTGTCCTGAAGGGCTCCTTTGGTGGGAAATGCCTACTCAATGAGAAATATTTCTTGAGGATCAGGATGGCCTTTTGTTATATATATATATAATTTATATATATATACATATATATTATATATATATATATATATATATATTGATTTCAAAGAGGAAGAGATAGGGAGAGGGAGAGATAGAAACATAAAGATAAGAGATAATCATTGATTGGCCGCCTCCTGCACGCCCCACACTGGGCATTGAGTCTTAAACCTGGGCATGTGACCGGGAATCAAACCATGACCTCCTGGTTCTTAGTCTGACGCTCAATTGCTGAGATACACCGGCTGGGCTTTTGTTCCTTTTGCGGGAAGCCAGTGGCACAGCTGCCAAGAGCTGAGTTCTGGGCTCCAGACCTAGCTACACCTCCATGGCCTCCCCCTGAGCATAGCCCCTAATTTCCCTGGGCCTCATGTGTACAATGGGAGAAGC